GATAGATACTTTACATATAGCTATATCACTTTACTTACAGTGTTGATGTTCCATGATAGATATTTTCTTGTTAGTGTTGACTCCCGGATGGACCACTGTGGTCCAACACGCCAAAACTACGCATATTCCAACTAGGAGCGAGGTCATAACTTGTAAAATTCATATCCGGACGGTACCCCCTATGAAAAATATGAGTGTTAATACAAATCCAGTTCAAACATAAAATAAACATCGCTAAAGCGTAGAAAAATTGAAGTTTACCAGTTGTCTTGTGGATTATATAAAGTCAAAAAATTATTTCCTCGCTGCTCATTCGCCGATGGTGATAAGTTTAAATCAAGGCAAGCTCTTTCATCAGAAATCTGTCCGGCAAAAACTACTCTAGAATAACCACCCGATAACTAGGTGATTATCCCTACTATGCACACCCTCATTATTGGGAATGTCTTCAACCTTGATGTCATTTCCAACAATTTTATTACAATAAATTCCTTATATTCATCCGGAATCCACAAAAAATCTCTAAGAGTTTCATCATCTTCGATGTTAAACTCAGAATAATAAGCAAACCCCTGCGGAGTCACAGAATACAGAAATCTACCGGTTACTTTAAGGTTCACCAAACGTTTCCTCACACTCAATTTTTTACGTAACAATGATACCAATTTATCGTACTCCATTGTAAGCGGCATTTAACATGACACTGTTGAGATGAACTATACCTAACAGAGTTATTCTCCATTACAACCTCACACCCCCCNAACAAGAAGAGAAGTATGAACGGGAGTTTGAAGGAAAGTTTTGAATGGATTTTCATAAATTCCTAATGCCTTTAAAAAAGACAAGTCCTAGCTCGGGGTGCTGATTTTTTTTATGTAAAACACAGTATAATACCGCGCTTTATATATTTGAATTATTTTTATATCAGTTAACCGCAGAACACTTATTGTTGGGTCCAAAAAAAAAGTAAAACGCAGTATAATATTGCGCTATATCTAAAACGCAGTATTATATTGCGCTTTACTTTAACGGCTAAAATTCCGTTAAAGTAAAAAATGCAGTATAATACCGCATTTTAGGTAGAAAAATAACTTATTTTTTTAAACCGTAGAAGTATTTTGAGTCCAAAAACTTTGCCATTTAAGTTTCGGACTCCTCCTAGTAGAACCTCCTTTACATTAATTGACGAGGCATCAATTTTATTGGTTGGTAATTAAGCTATTCGTTGTGTTCCTTCTATAGAACAACGTTTTATAACTAGACATCCTGAATAGTTGACAAAACGATGTTAAAATGTATAATTATTTTCATCAATATTTCGTTAGACGACAAGTTCAATTGACCTTTTTCTCTCAACTATTTCTATAAGCTTTACAACAGGTATATAAAGCATCACGCTATTAACTTGAAATGTTGTTTTAACTTGTTATAGCTTTTAAAGTTCAGAAGAGAGATTCTTGATCTCTTTCATGTCTATAATCTTCAAATTTGAGCATATGTGCGACCAAACAATAAATTTGTAATTATATTGTAATTACACTATGACAAACAAATAAATCGTTGTAATTATACAACTGTTAGGCTGTGTAATTACATCAATTTCAATTATCTGGTGGCTTTCCAAACAGATTATCACTAGACATCCTAAATAGATGGCAAAACGATTTAAAACAGAAGTTAAAATGTATATTAATTTCCTCAGAATTTCGTTTGACAACGAGTTCAATTGACCATTTTCTCTTCACTATTTATATAAGCTTTACAACAAGGTGGATAAAGCATCACGATATTAACTTATAATGTTGTTTTAACTAGCTTAAAGTTCAGAAGAGTGAGATTCTTGATTTCTTTCATGTCTATAATCTTCAAATTTGAGCATCTTAATTTCATTAAGGAAGTATTTAATCTTTAATTGAAGAAAGACAATATATAGATCCAAAAGTGGACTTTATACAACATTTCTCTCAAAATATATGTAGTTACTTAAATTATCTCTACCAATTAATGATTCACATAGTTACTTCTAACCCCTACAAGTCTGGAAGGTAATTTCTCCCCATAGATTAACTACTTGATCAATCTTAAATCTCAAGTAATACGCCCATATAATATTTTTTAATGTTGGGGATTCTCTTATTTGTTTTATATAATTCAGTTATAATGAAGAAACGTTTGTTATAATGTCCAATAATATTATTGTCATAAAAGGTAGAAATTTATAGACGCTAATGCCAAAGAGAAATTAATAATTAAATCTAGAGAGGTGTATATCATATTCAGGTAGGCTGGGTTGCATTCAGGGGCGGCTCAACCCGAGGCGGCTAAAGCCATTGCTTTAGGCCTCAAGATATATGAGGCCCCAAATCTTACCCATATATATATTTTATTTACTCTTTTGATGGTAAAAATTGCACGGGCACTCTATTTGATCGCCCATATTTAACCTATACTCAGTTTTAATTTTTTTTTTAACTTGTACCTACTTTTAAACAACTTCAGACCTCTTTCTCCTCCTTTGTTTTCTGAATGTTGAAACTTGGGATATTGTTATGCGTTGCCTGATGATTCATATATATTTGCTTGTCCCATTATGTTCAACTTGGTCTTATTCACAATAATTTAACCTCTTAGATATTTTAGCTTTGCAGGCACATTGATTTTTAGTTCTAATTTATCTGTAGTAACTTGTTTTCATGTCGAAAATATTTTTCATTCTTTGATCTTTGAAATGAACAACATCAATCGCTGCTAATCATGACCTATTAAATTCATTGTTTTTTAGAACTTCAGCTCTAAGAATGCTGAAGTTCAGCAAATATAAACAAAAACTTCAGCTCCTATAATGCTGAAGTTCAACAAATACAAAACAAACTTCAGCCCTAGAATGCTGAAGTTCAGCAAATATAAACAAAAACTTCAGCTCCTATAATGCTGAAGTTCAACAAATACAAAACAAACTTCAGCCCTAGAATGCTGAAGTTCAGCAATTACAAAACAAACTTCAGCTCCTAGAATGTTAAAGTTCAACAATTACAAAACAAACTTTAGCTCCTGGAATGCTAAGTTCAGCAATTACAAAACAAACTTTAGCTCCTGGAATGCTAAGTTCAGCAATTACAAAATAAAAACTTCAGCCAAAACATGCTGTAGTTTTATTGAACTAAAGTTTGCCATTGCACTATGAACTGAAGTTTGCGTGATTGCCTTTGCAAGTCAGGCCAAACTTCAGGCAAAAATATCTGAGGTTTTGCTATACTTCAGGAAAAACACTCTGAAGTTCAAACTTCAGACATAAACTTTTGCTACTTCAGGCTCGTATGTCTGAAGTTAAGCGAAAAGTGGATACACTTGTAATTTTTTTGCAAAGCGGGTATAGGTTAAAAGGTGATCCAAAAATTGGGTATAGATGCAAATGCCCCTTTTGATGAACCTTTTACTGTCAATTTCTCAATAATCATTAATGAGATGGTTGTTTGACCAAAAAGTGTCAAGCTTTTTGCTAAACTAATTAATGATGAGATAGATGGTAAATCTTAACCAAGAATAATTAACTCTAGATCAAAGCATGTTAAACACGAGAATCGAATACAATCGAGCTTATATAACTCTTCTTAAGATTATTAAAAGACATTAAACATAAACGATAAGCTTACATCTTTGATGTATTGTTCCATAATGTAAGAGCAAAGAAGGAAAGTAAGGAATGCCATTGATAACTATGAGATCCATCTTTATTGAATCAACAATGACGATTACAAAGATTTGCAACCAAAATATGGACTTTTGCTTTGTTGTTAGAGATCTTCTCCTGTTCTTCTATCCCTCTCTCTTTCGAGAGTCAGTCTCATTTTTTTGCCTTCTTACCTCCTATATATATTATAAATATTTTCCTTTGTCCAACGGTCTTTAGCCAGAATACCCTTTCTCTTGATAATACTTTACATCGCTCCCCTCAAGTATTACAACATATATTTGCCATACAAGCTTTCTGATGGCTCGATCTCGGCAGTGGTCGAGATACTCATCGTTATTACGCCTTGTGGTTACAACCACGGCTTAGTCAACCCCTTATCATTCCTTTTAGCACTAACCTACGTGTGGTCAGATTTTAACCCATACAATGGTTCCAAATGTTATGCTATTCTTTAGAAAGTATTTGGTTGAACTATAACAGATTAAATCAAACTACTTCTTGTTTTATTCCTCTTATTTATTTGAAACTTGAATTAGTTTTCACTTTTATAATTGTTTCTACGCACACTTTGAGCTAATTAGCTCCATATTGATTTTTGTTTTTGAAATAAATGTTACTAAAAGAATTGTACAAGTAGAAGATAATACTATATAAATAATATTCTCAATTCTCATAAAAATACGTGTTTATTTTTCACATATCTAATTGCTTTGAGAAAAATTTAGGCAATTGACAGTTCCCCTGTACTGATAGATGTTTTTCAAAAGTGAATTTAATAAGATAAAATCAACAATATCTCATCAAGAAAGTTTAAATAAATTGGCTATATTATCAACTAAAAAGAAAATATTAGAAGAGTTTGTTGTAAAAAATAATTGGCATCTTTGAAAATAACACCTACAAGAAAAGAATAAAAAAAATATAAATTTTATTAAATATTTTAAGACCTCTAACTAAGATTTAGCTTTAGGCCCCTACTCAAGTGAGCCTGTGGTCATTTTTTCTCTTTCACCGTTGCACTATTCACGTGACATTCCATATAACAAATTTTCCAGTCACCTAAAATTATAAAAATTAAAAGTAAAGAAAAAACTTGTCGCTTGTAATAGAACTTATATACATTGCTAGAAATGGTCAAAATACATTTGAATATTTTTTGCATATAATTTAATTTAATTACTTGAACTATTAGTGAAGAAAACCTAGCACTTGGAGTAGCTTAAATTGCTAGAAAAGGAAGTGAAAAAGCCATTATTTTCGCCGTACAGTACAGCAATCTTACGGCAAACAAACATGCAAAAGCCTATACTCTCTTCACTCATTTGAGTATCTCTCACACAAAGTAAACTTCAGCACATAGCCACATAGCTACATTATATTATCATTATTCTTTTTTACAACGTAACCCATATTTCGGATCTTTTGATCTTTCTTCTTAGATCTCCAAAAGATATTAAAAATTTTGGCCACTATGGAAACTGAACGTAAGAAGGACATGCTGAGTAAGAAAGGGTTGTTTTTGAAATACCCAATGAATTACGTGTTTGAAGAGCAGCGAATGGTTTGTTTACTAATCGGAATCGCCATTTCAACTGCGGCTTTCGCTGTAGTTAATTCTGTTTCTTCTCAGTCGTTGTTGGCCGGGTACAAGATCGGTAGTGATTCGATTTCGGACGTTTCGGTTGTGTCAACTTCTTTGATTCCTCGTAGAATAACGTACGAGTTGGTAGATGAAGCTAACCGCAACATTAATGCAGGCATGTTTAATTACCTTAATTTCCATTCCTAAATTACAAAAAACATCAATGTACATTGCATTCAAAGGGCAGCTCCGTGCACATAGTATTCTGACTCGGCTGCATCCCGAGGGGTATGATATATAGACAACCTATCCTAATGCAAGCATTAGTGGCTGCTTCCACGGCACAAACCATTGATCTATAGGTCACACGGATACAACTTTAATTTACCGTTGGTCCAAGTTGTCTCCGAGGTTTCCCTTCAACTTACCAAAAAAAATCATAATCGTACAGTTACAAAAACATGGTGATGAATTTTTGCTGGATGCAATAAACAAATTCTTTGAATTGAATGTCTTGGTCGGCTTCTTAATTCAGAGTTTGTCTTAAATTATTTCTTGACCAAATATACATATTTATATATTTTCTGACATATAAAAATATATTCCTAGTTTAATAAGTATCAAGTTGATTTCTTTTTTAATATATACTAAATCATGCTTCTATTCTGATCGTAATAATTATCAAGGTCAGTGGCAGATCCACTATTTTTGTGACGGATGAGGACCTTCCACTGTCTTCGCCTAAAATTACATATATAGATGGGAAAAGAAATTACTAGTGTGCTAAATGATAGTATACCCTCATTAACTTAAATTATGGAATTTCTGTCATAAATTACTATTCCCTCCGTTCCACAAGTGACCAATTTGCTTTTTTATTTTGGTCCAAAATAAGTGTCCATTTATATAATCAAGAAAAAATTCAATTTGTTTTTTCAAAAATTACCCTTATGTACATATCTCTAAAAAGTCTTTACTCCTCACATTAACTATGTTGCAACATTTAATTAAGGGTAGTTTAGTCACACTAACTATTTTTGTCTAGAATTTAGTATTTTCTTAATGAGTGTGCTCAAAGCAAATTAGTACCGGAGGGAGTAGCTTGCTAAATGATTTTAGGAGTTTTATTTTTTATATTTCGGAATGCATGAGGCCAAGGCAGATGTGCTCTAGGCTTAGTGGTTTCGGGTGCAACTTGAGTTTGAAGAGCCTAGTTCACGAGATTCTGCAATTTACATCCGATCGAGATATCTGTTGCCAAGAGTCATTTTTACTTAGGAGTTTATATATTTCACTCTTGATTTAATTTAATGTGTTGCAGGTGGAAAGGTGCCACTAGGATTGAAGAAAAAGAAGTTGAGAGTATTAGTAACAGGTGGAGCTGGTTTTGTTGGGAGCCATTTGGTGGATAGGTTGATAGAGAGAGGGGATAGTGTGATTGTGGTTGATAATTTCTTCACTGGTCGGAAAGAGAATTTGTTGCACCATTTTAGAAACCCTAAATTCGAGATGGCTAGACATGATGTGGTGGAGCCAATTTTACTTGAAGTTGATCAGGTTTATCATTTGGCTTGCCCTGCCTCTCCTGTTCATTACAAATTTAATCCTGTCAAGACCATCATATCCTTCATTATCTATTTTCTTGAGTTAAGCTGATAGATGATTTTAATAAATTCGTAATTTCTGAAAACAAAATTTATTTTTGAAAAAAAAAAAAACTTTTTTGTTCATGTTGAACCATTTGGTATCTAAAATCCAGTAGATATTGAATAGTTAAACAGAAAAAAAAAACTTAATTTTTAAAAGTAAATTTTGTTTAAAAGATTATGAAATTTCCTACAATAGACATATAGTTGGGTAGCATGTTTCTTTTTCTTCTTTTTAAGTTAAATTCTTATGTCTTTTTATTCATCTATAATGTTGACGTATCGATTAAATGATGAAATGCAAAGGGTTTGGTTTGCAAGGTAAAGTCTTGGATGGAGATTGAAGTATGGTTTTTGTCGGGGGCGGATGTAGCATTTCAGCTAAGGGTTCAACTAAACCCATTACTTTCGATATGAAGTATAGATTTATATGTAAAAATCTACTAAAATCTCAATAAGTATTAGATTTGAACCCATAATTTAACAGTATATGAATAAGTTTAATATTAAAAATCTTAAAACGTGAACCCATTAAATTTAAATCCTATATCCGCCTACTTTTGTTAAAACTGACATATGAGGTGTTTTTTCTTACGTTTTTTTGGTGGGGTTGGGTATGTGCATGTGGTAAAATGTTAATATATAATGTATGTTTTTGGGGACTTTGGGTAAGGTTATCCTTGACTTAAATAGTTAGATATCACAAAACAAATGTGATGGGAACATTGAACATGTTGGGGCTGGCAAAAAGAGTTGGAGCTCGATTTCTGCTGACTAGCACCAGCGAAGTGTATGGTGATCCTTTGCAGCATCCTCAAGTCGAAACTTATTGGGGCAATGTTAATCCCATTGGTTAGTTAAATAATTTTTTCTTTAACTGTGATTATTGCTATATAACGTACTGTCTAAGTGAATTTAGTTATGTGCTTTGGCTCTCGTGCTCTAAATATCGTCATTCTTTTTGAAACGGAGAAAATAATTAGTTAATTGTTTTTATATGTCAATGGAGCATATAGCTAGTTATTTTTATTTTCCTTATTATAATTGAGCAGGTGTCCGAAGTTGTTATGATGAAGGAAAGCGAACAGCTGAGACTTTGGCCATGGATTACCATAGAGGACTTAACGTTGAGGTTTTGTACTACTACATGAATAGCTTATATTTCTGGCAAATTTGGATTTTATTTTCAAAATGTCAAATACCTTGCATATTTCGAGATAAAAACTTTAAGGTCTATTTCAGAAATGAAGAGCTTAATTATTGTTTATATTGTTTTTCTCAGGTTAGAATTGCTAGGATATTCAACACATATGGACCACGTATGTGCATAGATGATGGTCGGGTTGTGAGCAATTTTGTGGCCCAGGTTTGTCTTAATTTATCTTTTTCATATATAAACACGGTGGCAGAGTCAAGATTTTATTAAGGAATGTTAAACTATAAAGAAATAAACTCACCAGAAATCAAGGGGTGTCAATATATATATATATATATATATATATATNGAAGAAGAGGAAGCTTGAAAAGAGAAGATAGATTTTAGATAGGAGAACTTGTTTTGGAAAGAATGCTTTCTTGATTTTTGGCATGCTTACAAATGAACAAGATACCCCATATTTATACTAGCCTATGGATGATTCTAGATAATGTACAAAGAAAATTCTAGCAACCTTATCTTCTAACAACACTATAGAATATCTAGATATGTCTTATCTTCCCACAACATTCTAGAACATCTAGATATGTCCACTAGATAAATATCAAGGATACTAAACTAGGACATTCTAGAGAATTCTATATTATTCCAAAATATTAATTTTATTTTTTTTCACACTCCCCCTTAAAGTGATTTTTTGGAAGCTACTCCAAGCTTGTCACGGAAGAACTCGAACGAAGCTTTAGCAAGTGACTTGGTGAAGATATCAGCGATATTCTCCAGACTTCTCACTTCCAAAGTATTGATAGTTCCATCAAGAACCTTTTCCCGAACAAAGTGATATTCCACCTCAATGTGTTTAGTTCTTGCATGGAATACTGGATTGTTTGCAAGCTTGATGGCACTTTGATTATCTCCATATATCACAGTTGGCTTTGATATAGGTAGATGCAAGTCTTCAGCAAGTCTTTGTAGCCATACACATTCTTGAGTAGTGAGAGTAGCTGCTTTATACTCAACCTCCGTGGTTGACAAGGAAACTGAGTCTTGCTTTTTGCTGCACCAAGAAATACTTGTTCCACCACAGAGGAAAATATAGCCCGATGTTGATCTTCGGTCATCCAAATCACCACCAAAATCAGCATCCGTATAACCAGCTAACACCAAATTATTCTTCTTCTGGAAGAACAAGCCCATGTCTGATGTTGAGTTGATATACTTTAGAATCCTCTTTGCAGCTTCTAAGTGAGGCTTTCTTGGCCATTGCATAAATCTGCTGACATATCCCACCGAGGACGCAATGTCCGGCCTTGTAATAGTCAAATACAAGAGACTTCCAACAAGAGCTCGAAAAGGCTTGGGATCTGCAAGAAGTGAGCCTTCGTCCCGTCTTAACCTTGCGCTTATTTCAAGAGGAGTAGAACATGTTTTGCTTTGGTTCAATCCAAACCTGTCAACAAGTTTCTTGGCATATCCTTCTTGAGTGACAAAGATCCATTTGTTCATGTTTGTCACCTCTAAGCCAAGAAAATGGTGTAGTTCTTCCAACTTCTTGATGTCAAATCTTATGGAAAGCTCATCTTGAAGCCTAGCAACTTCATCTTCATTGTTTCCTGTTATTATAATATCATCCACGTACAAAAGAACAACCATATGTAAGTCTCCTTGTTTTTTAACAAATAAGCTAGGATCTGATTGTGATGCATCATAGCCACATAAATGTTGATACTGAGCAATTTTTCCATACCATGCTTGTGGAACTTGCTTGATGCCATAAAGGGTCTTCTTAAGTTTGCAGACATGATTAGGATGTAAGTTAGAGACATACCCGGGTGGTTGCTCCATATAAATATCTTTGTCAAGCTCTCCATATAAGAAAGCATTCTTCACGTCAAGTTGCCATAACTTCCAATTATGCAAGGCTGCCAAGGCTAGCACAACTTGGACAGAGATCATCTTAGCCACCGGACTGAAGGTTTCTTCATAATTTTCACCATACTTTTGAGAAAATCCCCGAGCAACTAGCCTTGCTTTATATCTATCTATGCTGCCATCGGCTCTTCTTTTGATTTTGTAAACCCATTTATAAGAAATGGGTTGTACATCCTTCGGCTTTGGTACAAGGCTCCAAGTTTGATTTTTCATCAGAGCCTCCATTTCATCATCCATAGCAAGCTCCCATTCTTTGACTCCTTTAGCTTCTTCGAATGAGTAAGGTTCTTCATCATCAATTGGTCCTGGGCAAAGAAACATGAATACGTACTGACAAATTTTTTATCTCTAAAGCGAGCTGGCTTGATAATAGTTCTTTTTGGCCTTCCCGAACCACTTGAATCATCTTCTTGTTGAGTTTCATGTTGTTTAGGTCCAGGACTCCCCCTTTCTCTTAACTCCTCGGCAGTTGTATTATCTAGAGAAGCACCTACAATGGACAAGCTTGAATCTCCATTATTTAAGGTTTTCTCCATAATACAAAGACACTTCGTCGAATATGACATCCCTTGAGACAACAAAGAGATGAGTTTTAGGATCCATGCACTTTCATTCCTTTTACCTTTCATCATATTCGACAAAGATGCATTTCCTTGCCTTGGCATCTAACTTGCTCCTTTGAGAATCTGGAATATGAACATAACAAATAGAGCCAAAAACCCTAAGATGTTTCACGCTAGGATTTTCTCCAAACATAATTCATAGGGAGACTTCATATTATTTGGAGAAAGTGGCATCCTGTTAATCACGTACGCTGCACATTTCATACCTTCAGTTCACGAGGCTCTTGGTAAATTCTTGGCATGAAGCCAACTCTTACATGTCTCAGTCAAGTGTCAGATCTTCCTTTTAGCCACTCCATTTTGTTGTGGAGTATCAGCGTATGTCAACTCTCTTTTAATGCCATGCTGACAACAAAAGGAAAGAAACTCATCTGATGTAAACTCACCGCCATTATCAGTTCGTAGCTGCCTTATTCTGGAATCGAGTTCACCTTCAACAGTTTCTTTGAACTCCACAAACTTAATGAAAACTTCTGCCTTGTTCTTCACAAAATAAATCCAAGTGAATCTAGTAAAATCATCAATGAAAATTAGCATATAAGAGTAGCCTAAAAATGAAGGAGTTCTCGTTGGCCCCATCAAGTCACTATGAATAAGTTCTAGTGGGGCATTGCACCTTGACAAGGATCTGTCAAATGGAAGACGATGTGCCTTTCCATATTGACATCCTTCACAAACCTCTCCTCCATCAAAATTTCTTAAGTTAGGCAAACCTTTTACTAGATTCAACTTTACCATGACTTTTAATTTATCCATGCTTAGATGTCCAAGTCTAGCATGCCAAAGATGTGTATTATCATTGCTACTCATTTTCTCAATATATGAATTAGAGGCAGATAAGACATATAAATCGTTAACTCTCTTACCTGAGTGAACGATATCTGCCTTGAGTACCTTGATATTTCGGAGGAACTTCATATCACGTAGGCCAAATAGCAAATAGTTTCCAGCATCTGTAACATTTGCAACTTAAAATAGATTTTTCTTCATACCTGGAACGTGAAAGATACTGTTGAGGGCGATAATGTCTTTTTGCTTCTCGTTGATCACAACATTTCCTTCCTTCTCCACATTATGGACTGTATTATCTGCTGTAATAATGACATTATGTCCGTTGTATTCGCTAAAGGTGGAGAATTTGGATTGATCTCCAGTGAGATGGTGCCCACATCCTGAATCCACGATCCAGTCTCTTTCAAAATTTATGGAAGCCATGGCATTTATTGCTCGAGTCTCCGCTGTGAAGCACTTTCCCCAGTCTTCTTCTTTTTCTTCTTCTTCAGCAACTTCCTTGATTTGAGCTATATTGCTCTCTTTGGCTCGACAATATCTTTTTATGTGCCCTACTTTGCCACAACGGTAACATTTTAAAGGCTTTTTACCATTGCTGGAAGACTCCCCCTTCTTTCCTGGCTAGCTCGAACCACTTGAGGATTGAAAGTGCATGCTATCTCTTGATTTTCCTTTAAGGTTCCTCTTATCGACGACAAGAGCATTTCCTTCCCCTTCTTTGATCGATACACCAGCCATCTGTTTGGCTAATAGCTCTTGTGACGATAACAAATTCTCAAATTCTTCCAAAGATGGTTGTTGAACCCATCCTTGAATCGATGTAACAAAGGGAATATATTCTGGCTTTAATCCACGAATAATAATTCTTCTTATTCGTGCTTCAGAGATAGCCTCGTCCGGATTCAATAGAGAAATTTCAGAACACATATTTTTAACCTTCAAAAAATACTCGGTGATCGAGAGATTACCTTGAGTGGTGTTAGCTAACTCATTCTCCAAAATCTGTAGCCGAGCTTCATCCTTCTTGTTGAACAGCCGATCGAAGGTCCTCCATATTTCATGAGCTGATTTACACCTTATAATATGATCAAATAAATTATGAGAGATGAACCTCTTTAGGATAAACTCCACCTTAGCATTAATCTGTTTCCACTTCTTACGTGCATTGCTATTTTCCGATGCGTCAGCAGGAGGACTTGTGTTACTCCCATTGACAACTTCCCACAAATCCTCACCAACAAGGTATGACTCCATACAAGGCTTCCATACCTTGTAGTTGGACTGGTTCAATAACTCAATCCCCAGTCCATTAGCACGACCACCCAAATCCATTTAGAGAAACCAGTTGAATCAACCACTAACTCGACCTTGAAATCCATAAGCCGACTTATGGCTCTGATACCAAGTAAAGAATAGCAGAAGAAGAATATTATTTGGAGACCTTCTGCTAGCCCAAGATCGTTAACTAAGATTGGAGGATACAACTAAAGAAGAGGAAGCTTGAAAAGAGAAGATAGATTTTAGATAGGAGAACTTGTTTTGGAAAGAAGACTTTCTTGATTTTTGGTTTGCTTACAAATGAACAAGATACCTCCTATTTATACTAGCCTATGGATGATTCTAGATAATGTGCAAAGAAAATTCTAGCAACCTTATCTTCTAACAACACTATAGAATATCTAGATATGTCTTATCTTCCCACAACATTCTAGAACATCTAGATATGTCCACTAGATAAATATCAAGGATACTAAACTAGGACATTGTAGAGAATTCTATATTATTCCAAAAAATTCCGCCACCGTATAAACATTATAAATAAACAAACTTTTCTATATCCCCCTCGCCCCACAGATATTTCTATTGTAATAATACTTCTGAATCAATTGTAATATGTTATGAATATTTGCAGGCCTTGAGAAAGCAGCCATTAACTGTTTATGGAGATGGGAAGCAAACTCGGAGTTTCCAGTATGTTTCTGATTTGGTAATAATTAATTCATTATTTCCTCCTCAAATTAAAGCTAGCTGGTTTGTTTTTAGAACAAATTTTGAGCCCTCTAATTAAGAAAATCTTTTGCTTTGGCAAATTTTTACAGGTAGAAGGATTGATGAGGTTGATGGAAGGGGATCATGTTGGTCCTTTCAATCTTGGGAACCCTGGTGAATTTACCATGCTTGAACTAGCTAAGGTATTACTGAAATCTTTTATTTAGTTCAAGCAAACCTTTGCCTTGCAAAATTTCATAACACATTTCTGAAGCCAATTGTCTGCATATCTATATGAAAATTTCAAAACCTATATATAGAAACGAACCGACACTTCTAATTCTTTGATTCTACATCATGAATCTGTTATATATGATACAACGATTGGAGCAAGATCTATTTCAATTTGTACATTCACTACAAAAAAACTGGAATTAGCTACTAACACCAACGCTAATCTGTCCCTAAATTGCCCGTAGCTAGCAGAATTTCTTAATAACCTGTTGTTAATCCGTCGCTAAATGAGATTAGCGATAAATTTTTCTTTTGTCCGTCACTAAAACCAGATTTTTTACTAGTGATTTGATGCATCATTGTGGCTCAAAATTCCTAGAAAACGTATAAACAACTTCAACTTATATTCCTACTGTAAATGTCTTATATTCTAGCACATGAACCAAGTGATGACGGAGCTAGGAATCCTAATATGGGGATTAAAAAAATGTAAAAGTGTGTTATACCTAGAAGCCTCCCTTAGGTTAAAGGAATTCAACAGTTCATGTATATGCAAAATAAAAATAAAAATTGTAATTAATAATACTGTACCAACAGAGTATAATTTCTATACGAAGGGGGTTAATTCAATTGATGAACCCCCTTCTTTACCTTTAGTTCTGCAACAGCATGAACCTAGCAATGTGTTAAATATGCATCTTAATATTTGGACATGTTAAAAATGTGAGTCAAGCAAAGTTGAAAAACGTTTAGATTATGTGTTGGATCCCAAATAAGTGCGTAAACATTAAATAAGCCTTTATAAAAATAGACATGAATTTTTCTTTTTACCAACTTACGTGACTATGCATGTATAAATGTATAGTATTGTTGAATACATATTTGTACTCTCAAATTTTAACCCTACAAAGTTGAGAGATATTCTGAATTAACTAATACTGTATGCAGGTGGTGCAAAAAACAATATATCCAAATGCAAAGATAGAATTTAGGGCAAACACAGAAGATGATCCTCACAAGAGGAAGCCTGACATTTCAAAAGCAAAGCAACTTTTAGGATGGGAGCCAACAGTTTCCCTTCGCCAAGGATTACCTCGCATGGTTGATGACTTTCGACAACGTATATTTGGCAATGAAAAGCTCAATTCTGGCATATAAAATAGTATTATTGTTATAGAGTTTCTTTCGTTGTACCATGATTAATTTGGTTTTGGATGAAAAGAAAGATGACACGTTGATAATGAATTCTTGAAGATGAATACTACAATTACATACTGTATGAGTTATAGTAACTATATAGGTCCATAGTCGNTTGGAAGGTGTATTTTTTGTGTATTGGTAGTTTAACCATATTAGACTTTTCTCACTGCTAGAAAATTGTCAAAAACCGTCCACAGCATACTGACCGAAATTGGTCGGAAGAAGAAACTGACCGAAATCGATCAGAAAATAGGTAAATTTGTCGCAAAAGTTAAAGAAAAAATTTTACACAAAGATACCGACCATCATCGGTCAGAAAAAGTGGTCCCACAACAAAGAAATACTGCTATGTCTGACACCTATAAAAATTCCGACCGATGTCGGAAATTGGTTAATCTTTGACCAAGACTTGGTTATACTTGCATATAATCTACTAAAATAAGTTTAATTAAAAAATTTCAAATATATCAACCAAAAATCGGTGGGAAATTTTAATTTATTTTTTCTTGCCCAAGGTAACTTGTTTTTTTCCATAACAAAAATAATTTTTTATAATTATTATTAATTTACCGATCGATTTCGATCGGTATTATTGTTAAATTATTTGTTATTTACAATATTTACATATATTTAACAAAACACACACACACACATATACACATATAAAAATACACATATACATACACACACAGAACATTGAATATTTTAATCTCGATCATCTTATTAGTACTTTGCTCAGATAATTCATCAGTGGATTAATTGAAAATTCAATTATATTCGATTAAAACTTACCATAAAGTATATAGTTCTATAAGATGTAGTGCTATATTAATAAAAAAGTTTTAGCAACAACAACATATGTATACTTATATTAATACTATATTAATATAAAGTTGGACTCGTAATTGAATGAGTTGTCGAATTTTGTGAGTTTTGTCAGGTTTCGAGGTGCGGCCGGGGTTTAACTTTTTGGTTGACTTTGGGCTTTTGATTAGAGATTCCACCTTTATCGATTGGGTTTGTTTCTTTTGGCATTATTTCATATTTTTGAGTTTCTTTTGGCTAGTTTCAAACCGTTCGGAGATCGGTATGCGTGGGATGACATTTCTAAAGTATTGTTTGGCTTGATTGGTATTAGATTCGGCTTGTTCGAGGTAAGTAACACTTCTAAACTTGGTGCTGAGGGTATGAATTCCTGAACATACGTGTTATGTGTTTGGTGTTTAGGTGATGCACATGCTAGATGACGGGTGTGTTGGCATGCACCATGTGAATCATGACTCGATTGATTCTGTGGTACTCTATAGTGACCTAATCTTGTTTCTATCCATGATATTTCTACGTGCTAGAGTAATTGAGCTGTTATCCATGTTAGAAACCATGTTTAGGCTATATGCTTATCCTGTTGGGACCCACCGAGGTAATTTCTAATGTTGAGTTATTTGCTCAGTATCATATCTCAGTCTCTGTTATCATTTGTCTCACAACATGTTATTATTGTTTGGGCTGATTGACACGAGATTTGTAAGCCCGGGAGACTGGAGAGGATGATGACTTAGTGAGGCTGAGGTACCTGATTGTGAGTGATATTTATGGGATCGGGCTGCACGCCGCAACAGGCTTTATTGATTCATGCCATGATTGACTTATATTAGTGCTTGAGCAGGATCCTCCCCTCCGGAGTCTGAATACCAGCAGTGAGCGCAGGTAACTCCTGAGTGCGAGTGTCGAGCGCGAGTGGAGTGAATAGGAAGACTAAGTGACTGTGATGACTGAGTAATTGGGAAGACTGAGTGACTAGGAGGACTGAGTGATAGAGCGTGCTGAGTGATATTGGCTGCTCCGAGAGCATGAGCACGAGTTTATCACTATGGTGCATTACATTTGACATGCATACTTGACATATAGGTATAAAGATGCATTTCCTCATGCTGTATAGTATTGTGACATCCATGACTTCACATGCACATTGGCACGTAGGCATAGAGATGTACTTTTCTCATGCTATCTAATAATGAAACATCCTATTTGTTGTTGAAAGTTTTTGGGAAAAATCATAATTGTCTGATATACTCACATTTTGGCGACTTCGGTAAAAGATTTGGGGTTTTTAACTGTTATACCTGAAAGGCATGCCTATTTTTCATTATTGTGAATGAGTTGAGCATCATATCTTTGAGTTATTACTTGTACTACTTTATTTATATTGTTACGAGTTGTTGTTGAGTATTGGTGTTGGACTCTGATCGTTGTCCAAGCTTGTCACTGCTTTCAACCTAAGGTTACGTTTGTTACTTATTGAGTACATGGGGTCGGCTGTATTCATACTATACTTCTGCACCTTGCATGTAGATTTTGGATGCTGATGTTGCTGTGTATGACGAGAGCTGGCATTGAAGATGTACTTGTGTTCCAGTTGTAGCTGCCTCTTGTTCTTGGTAGCTTTAGAATTATTAATCTGTTCATGTATATTTGAAACAGATGATGTATTTATTTCGTACCAGCATTGCAAACTCTAAATCTTAGAAGCTCATGATTTGTACTACCAATCCTTGGGAAGTTGTATAAAAATTCAGTTATTTCATTCTTGACCCTATCATTATCATTATATTGTGGTTTATTGTTAATTGGCTTACCTAGTGAGTTGGGTTAGGTGCTATCACGACTAATTGAATTTTTGGTCGTGACATAATTGGATGTATAATAGAAATTATCCTAATCATCAATTTTTTAGGAAGGAATTTATAGAAGGGGTTAATGTGATGACCCAAAAGGTCATCTCTTATTTTAGAAGTCAAATATGTGTTCCGAGGCCTTAAAACCCTCCTTTTATTTTACCTCAATTTGCGTGCACAGTCCGAGCACGTTTCCGAAAAGCTTTTATGTGAAATTTAAGAAAAATAATAAATTTGGCCTTTAAAATTGATTAAAGTTGACTTCGGTCAATATTTTTGGTAAATGAATCCGGACCCGTGATTTGACTGTCCCGTAGGGTCCGTAGTAAAATATGGGACTTGGGCGTATGCCCGGAATTGAATTTCGAGGTCCCTAGCCCGAGAAAAGAATTTTTAAAGAAAATTATTTGCTGGAAAATATAAAGACTTTTGGAAATGAAATGGTGCGTGTTCTTGAGGGTATCGGGCCCATATCTTGATTTCGGAGCCCGGTACAGTTTTAAAATAATAATTAAGTCGAATCTATGAAATTTGGTAAGAATTGGAGTTGATTTGGTATAAATCGGACTTTAGGTTGAGAAAATGGAAAATTTGAACTATCTTATGAATTTCATGAATTTGAGGTTAAATTCGTAGTTGTTGATGTTATTTTGATGATTTGATAGCACGAGCAAGTCTGTACGATATTCTTAGACTTGCGTGCATGTCTGGTTTGGATCCCCGAGGGCTCGGGTGAGTTTTGGATAGGCCGCAGAGTGATTTTGAACTTAGGGAGATTGCTGGTATGTTGCAGCTTCGTAGTAGGTCCCTGATCTCGCAATTGCGAGATTAGGCATCGCAATTGCGATGTTAACAGTGACCGCAAATGCGAGCTTTTGCTTCGCAAATGCGAAAATGGTTAGGGCCAGCTTTTCTCGCAAATGCGAAGTTGTCCAGGTAGGCTAGAGGTCGCAAATGCGACAAAATTGTCGCAAATGCGACAAAATTGTCGCAAATGCGAAGGAAGCAGAGATTGCGAAGGTTCGCATTTGCGATGCCCTTCTCGCAATTGTGAGCTTTGGAAATGCAAAGCTCTAGTTGCAATTGCGATATCTGCGGCCTGTTAATTGGGAATTTGACAGGATTTCAACTTCATTTTTCAAAATTTCGAACCCTAAGCATCCCTAGGCGATTTTTCAAAGGCTCAAACTTCTTCAAATCATAAGTAAGTGATTTCTAACTCATCTTCGTCCAATTCATCTTTTTACATAATTTAACTCCAAAATCTAAGGGTTTTCATGGGAAATTGGGTGTTTTTGGGTAGAAGTTAGGATTTTCGAATTTTGGGGATTTGGACTCAAATTAAGGTCCGATTTCAAAACTAATTGCATATTTGATTTTGTGGGTGAATGGGTGATCGTGATTTGGTTCGAACTTCGAGTTTTGACCAAGCGGGCTCGGGTCGATTTTTGACTTTTTGGGGAAAACATTAGGAAATCTATATTCATCCAGAATTTTATTTAGCCTATATTGATGTTATTAAGTAATTTATGACTAGATACAAGCGGATTAGAGGTGGAACCAAGAGGTAAAGTGGTAATTGAGGCTTGATTTTTGACCGTGGAATCGAGGTAAGTGTTTGGCCTAACCTTATCTTGAGGGAATAGGTATTGTGTCTTATTTTCTATGTGTTAGTGTCGAGTACGATGTATAGGTGAGGTGACGAGTACCTATACATCAGTGTCAAGCATGCCCGTGAGTCTTATACTAAGATTGTTGTGATGTTATTATGTATTGTTCACACTTAAATTGACGATTAGCATGTTGAACAAGACTTATGATATTTCTTGGTAATTGACTATTATTGAATATCGACTCAAGTTGAGGCTTATTATGTGAAGTTAACTGTTGAAACGAGATTGGTTATAACTGATTCCCTTGCCGGGACGTTGTTGATTTCATTGTTGATTCCCTTGTCGAGATACATTGTTTCTATTGATTGGGTGAGGAAGAGTGTAAAGCACGAAGGGTGATGCCGTGCATGATATTGTGAGGAAGAGTGTAAAGCACGAAAAGCATGATATTGTGAGTGAGTGTTAATGCACGAAGGGTGATGCCGTGCCATGATTTGAGAGTTAATGCATGAAGGGTGATGCCGTGCCATGATTATGAGAGGTAATGCACGAAGGGTGATGCCGTGCCGTTTCTGTTGTTTCATATGGTGAAGACGAGAGTAAAAGCATGAAGGGTGATGTCGTGCACGTATTACTGTTTCATTATTCTTGTTGATACAAATATGATGTTCATTATGCTTCCCTACTAGTTTATTGTTAGAATTTGATATTTCCCACAGTATGTCCCATTCCCATCTTTATCTGTTATTTCCGGTCATTATTGTTCTGTTTCTATATGATTTAACTGCACA